CCAGGTCAGGTTGGACGGGGCTCTGAGCAACCTGATCTAGTTGAAGATGTCCCTACCCACGGCAGGGGAGTTGGATTAGATGACCTTTAAAGGTCCCTTCCAACCCAAACTATTCTATGATTCTATGATAAGTGTGAACCGCACATTCCCATGCAATTTTATCTCCCTAAATCTACAAACTGATCAAAGTGCTAAGAAAAGCCTGAATTCTTTTATTTCAACAAAATGCTACAATTGAAGTCCTTGGAGAAAATTATTTTCATGACTAAATTTCCCTTTGGTTAGTTATTTCACCATGGTCAAAGGATGACATCGGGAAAGGACACCCATCTCGTGAATGACTTTCCATCCTCACAAAAGGACGGAGTTAGCATTGCAGATTCGAGGGCAGAAATACAACTTTCTTATGCTTCTCATCCCCCATTTCCCATAGGAATCTGCTATTACCTGGGCCTACATCAAACCTCAGGCACAAGGGAAGCACACAGGGAGCGGTGGGAGGGTTACGATCCTCAACCCACCCATTGCCTGTACTCCCTGGGAAGCCTGAGTGAGTTCCTCCTGCGGGGCAGGTAGACAACCCCCTTCAGCTGATAAAATGTGTAATTTCCCCACACCTGTGACATGGTACTCACATAAAGCCAGCAACATAAGTGTTGGACAGCCTGGGAGCTCCCCCTCCATAGGCAGAACTTGTCTCTCCTAGCCAGACCTTCTTGTTGGGCACGGTCCCACCAACAATCTGGCCGGTGTGGCGTAGGGAAGAAGAGAAAGAGACAACAGTTAAGTTTTTTGGCTACTGAAATAATGGGCAAACAAAATTTTGTGCTTTAGCCAAATGCCTACGTATGACATTTGAATTTAAGGGATAATACCAACTGAGGTGGGATGTCACAGGAATTTTGATCAAAAGGACTAGAAGCAGATTTACTTCCCCCCCGCAAAATCACATCTACACACGTAGAACAAGGCAAACACCACTAAAAGCCACGTCCTGTAAGTCTTCTTGTGCTGAGCAGTGGGGTACTCTAAGTTATACTGTTCTCAGGATCTCAAAATACAAAGACATCAGGGCAGGGAGGGGTATGACCATAAATTACATCACTGAGTAATGACTACATCGATAAGTGAGAACGTTGTAGGTTTGTGATGTATCTGGCACCATGCTTGCTGCATGGCAAACTATTAGAGCTGTATTACTAGTATTGTTAATTTTTTTTTTAATTTACAATGACAGCAGCACCCAAGCTTTGAGGACCCCTGTTTACTGCTAGTGAGAAATTGTACTTTATTCCGGATTCTCTGCTAACCCCGTGGAAACTGAACATGGGAATGACTGAACAGGACAAGGCACCTCCAGGACTTCGTGTACAGCTGCGACAAAGGTATCCAGCACTTCAGGGCTCAAGAAATCCTCCCTCGTTGCACTTCGTCCATTCACATAGTAACTGGAAATGGAAAAAAAAACCCCACAGCCAAAATTAAGCAAAAATACCACCACTGGTACAAAACACTACTGAAAGTACTCAGTTGCTTGATACATTTATCCACAGCACTATTTTTCTGTCCAGTTCTTTTTCTTTTTTTTTTTTTTCCATATTGCGTAGGTATGTTGTTTGTATTTAAGGGACTATCAGGTATAATTACCTCAATGGAGGCAGGATATCACAGAAACTACGATCAACAGAAGTAATACGGGTTTTTTTGCCTCTATTCATTTAGAATGAGGAAAACATCACTGAATAAGAGCCTGCTTCTGTAAATCTTCTCTTGCTGAGGAGTCTGACACTCCTATGTGATTACTTGCTTTATTGTATCAAGTCATATGTTAAAAATATCAGATCCCAGCTTCTGTCTCTCTGGTTAGGGTTAGGGTTAGGGTTAGGGTTAGGGTTAGGGTTAGGGTAACCCTAACCTAACCCTAACCCTACCTCCAGATGGTATTTTGGCCATCTGGAGGGGAACGGGATGGAGGCATCCCTACGGGATGAAGGTTGCCTTCCACTATGAGCAGAAGAGCTTTTAAGTCTGGTTTGTCCGAATAAAGAACAGGAAATTGGGATCCCTGTGATTTTTGCATTTCATCACACTATCACTCAGTCCTACCAGAAGTAGCTGAAGTCTTCCAGCCACGAGAGGAAGCTAAAACCTGATAATCCTAAATTAGTAAAGAAAATAACACATGCCCATTTAAAGCAAAGGCAGCCACAGGGCAAGAACAGCCCAGGAAGGGGAGAGGACACATTTTATGCCTTGCTAGCAGCTCAAAATACATAGATAAGTCATATACGTATACATATATATAATATAAGCATGTACATCTTTTCTCACTGTTACCTGACTGCTGCATGTCACTATGCTGTATTTGACTCCGGAAAGAAAACCACCTTCACATGGAAATCACTTTGAAACACGTGGAGTTCATGGCAGGTGCCCTGGGGACAACTTACCCCACTGCCCACCTGAGCACTTTAAAACTACATCTCTAAGCCACGGCACAAAAGCGAAGGGCTGGGACTGTGCTGGTGCTGTTTGTACTGCGGGTGGGATCTGAGGGCGTTACCCACATACAGCCCAAACTGACCTGGAGAGCAAACGTAAGGGAGCAGGAGAAGCTGCTAGCACTTCTCTATGGGTAAGGGTCAGCCAGACTTGCAGGGCTTTTCATTTATATTGAACAGACATAAATAGAGAAAAAAGGCAGCATGTAACACATCAGCTAACAAGGCTTCTGCTGCATTTTTTACAAGGAGTTGGGTCATCAATGACTCCCTGAATTTACTTTTAGGGAGTGAAGCTTTCACTCAAGCAGATTCAGCCTTTCTAATGCCAAGGAGAGCACCAATGTCAGGGGTACTGACTCCGTTTCAAAGCCCAGCCACCCACGGGTTGTTTAAAACCTTACATTAAAAACCTTCTGCTCTTGCAGAAGTTCAGCAGAGGCATCTCTGCCGAGTAGGTCCGAGCTACCTTCTTTTCCTTTTATACGACACCCCCTTCTTCTCATGGGAAAGTGCCTATTATTTGCAAGGGTTGGCAACTTGGAGCTTTGAGACAACTGGGACTGCTGCTCAGATCTCACTAGCTTTTGGTACATGTTGAAACATGGCATATGCAAAAAGGCTCAACCGCTGCAGAAACTCTCCTTGTGTGTGGGAGAGCCATATAGCCTACCCCCTTGCACACTTCTGAGAAATAAAGCTGCCATGCCATCTTTTTCTCCACATCCCACTTCAGTTTTTCTCAGTGCACAAATTTAGCAAGCAAAGTGACTGTCTTGCACACGTTGCATTCCCCGCTGCTGTGCCTATGTTACAAACCCCTGCCACTGCTTTTGGGTCTCTGCACCAAGTAGTCTCCTTGGAGACCTTCTGCATTTCTGTAATGTGCTCCCTCAATTCATCTCTTATTCTGAGCAGAGGAGTTTGCAGAGAGGCACCTGAGGAATTGCTGAAAGGGGTATTTCACCCCCTCCTTCCTGTTGAGATGTTCAAATTGACATTTTGTAAGGAAAACAGGCAATAAGCAGAGTGATAGTGGTATCTGAGTGATACTTACTGGTGCCACGTGACAGAATCGATCACCTTCCCTCCTGATTTCAGGAAGCTGCAACCAGAGGGGATGCAGTGGAGAGCAGGGGGTTAGCGGGTACATGTGACAGGTGACGGGTTGCAGCCCCCCATGGGCGAACTGCCACACACAGCCCTCCCCTCTCCCCCTGACTGGCGGTAGTGATGGTGAACTGCTTTGGGGCCACGCTTGTGATGGCTTTTAAATGGACTTTGGGCAGCCTGGCTGCCTCAGCGGGGTGCTGGGAGGATGAATTAATGCTTGTGTAACACGTGGAGATTTCTAGGGTGAAAAGCCCTTGTTAACACAGCACTAGAGCCAGCACTCAATTGAAAAGTGTGTGGATCACTGAAGTACTGCTAGCGTCTTAGTTTCAACTGGCTGACTATTTAAGCCTTGAGCTCATCTCATGCATGCAGGTAAGATTTCAGTCATCCCCAGTCAAGGGAAAAAAAATTCCATGTTTCAGATTTAAGGAAAAATGCAGGAAATTAGTTCTCAGATAGACTGGATGTATCCATTTGTACATCCTTACTATTGATTTGGAGCAGAAAATCCTTAAAACCCTGCCCCGATGCCTCCTCATGCCCCCTGCATCTGGGTGCAGATGAGCCACTGCTATCCACACTTGCCCACCCCGGGGAATGCTGCCAGGGCCCCACACCCCTACCTTCTCAGCAGTTTCTGTGTGTGCTTTCGGGGCTGCCCGACATCGGGACCGTAGAGCTTCGCATGCCGGTAGAGGGTATAGTTACTCAGAAGTTGGCGTAAGTGAATAAAATCTTGCCCCAGCTGGAAGCCATCGATGTAGATGCCAGATTTCTTCCTGAAGCTATTGGGCTCTGGGGAAGACACGCGTGCATCAGCACCCTGCTCTAGTTTTGGGGCACAAAATAGGGCAGCTCGTTCTACATGGGAAGTACATAGATCACGTGATCTGGCACGGTACAGGTGAGATATTTGAAAGCGATGAGCATGAAACCGCAAGCCCGGGTGATGTGGCGTGCTGCTCTCCAGCACTCTGTCCCAGCCAGTCCCCATAGGTGACATCCTGCACCTCGTGGGGCATCATTCACCTCATCTCAGAGCCTTGGTAGGAGCAGCAAAATCATCTCAATTTGCTCATTCATTGGGCCTTCTGTGAAATCCCTCCTCAAAAATTAGGACCTTAATGTTTCCCAGTAAAACATCACCTTGCCTTTATGGGCCGTCATCCAAAACATCCAAAATTACCAGCCCATACTCTGTGGTGGTACCTTTCCAGGTGACCGTTGGCCTGGCCCACAAGCAGGCTTAGCACTTACCATTCCCGAGCTCCCAAGAGATGTTGTACCTCTGCGAGGTACAGTAGTCCAGCAGTGCCCGGGCGTTCGAGCTGTCCCACTGCAAGCCATCTTTCCGCAGCAAGGCGTTGAGCCCAAAGATCAGGTGAAACCCTGAGCAGTTTGCAAAGCTGTAGAGAATATCCAGGGTATTTCCTACACGGAGGAGAAAGGGGGGATGTTTATCTCAAGGTTACGACATGCTAGTTGAGCTCCAGCCAAGCGACAATCTTTACTGCCTGTATTTATTTAGCCTGGTGCTGCAAATGTGCCAAGCTCTCCCAGCTGGACAAAAGAGCCCAGACCTTACTACACACCATCCTGCAAGGTGTTGAGATCATCCCAACTCCTGCAGCAGCCGAATACTATTAAATACAAGGTGGCAGACAGTAGAAAGAGATTTCTTAGAAACATTTCACCCCTTTAGAAAAATATTCATTTTCAGTGGTTTCAGCTCCTAACAGCCTATGGCCCTTTTACCGCAGAGCAGAGATTTGCAGCCCCCTGGTTAATAAACCCTAGCAGAAAAATCTGTCGAAGTCTTACTTGTAATGGTGGTGTTTTTGTGCTTTTTCCAGTTATGCTCTGCAAGAATCAGCTTCTCCTGGCTGGGCCACTGGGCCAGCAGTAACTTCTCAACAGCAGCAAATGCAGGCCTCGAGCCACAAGCCTCTGTAGGGCAGAAGAAGGATGATAGCAATTAAGTCCTCATCTTCACGGCCAGGGTCCAGCATGCAAAGGGCTGCATCCCTCAGGAGGAAGCACAACTGCTTGGTGCCAGGCTGAGACCCAGTCGTGCACTTCTGTGAAACGCATCCCTACCTTCACAATGTTAACCACATAGAAAAAGAGGACTGGCTTGATGCATAAATATGTATTTTATATATAAAACATATATTTCCCAATTTAAGGTGATGGAGATGGGGGGGTGGGGGAAGACTGACCTGTGCTTCTGGAGGCTGGTATCATGGCGGTCACACCCCAATAAACTATTAGCTGGAGCACCATCCGGAAACCCTCATTCCAACGAGCTGACAAAGCATGGGCTGCAGTGCCCGAGGAGCAGATAAGCCACCCCGGCGTGCAGCGGTATGGCAGGGTTCATGGCCTGCCTTGCTGTGGGCAGATATGGGGCAACGCTTCCTGCGCTGCCCATCTTGTGCAGGGAAAAGCGCTGACTGCTCCGTGCGGCAGCAACACTGGCAGGAGTCATAAGACACTTTTTCTTCAAAGCTCATGCTTTTTCTCGGCATGCAAACCAGGAACAAGCCATAACCAGAGAAGGAGGCATGAGCCAGAGTCACAGTTACCCAGGGAGGAGGCGGCTGCTCAGCAAAGCAGTACAGGGGGAAAAGTACCACTTAGCTTCAAAACCGAGCATCACCGGTTGTACAGTGATGTATGATTGCACTGTTGTGCTATGTACCACAGGAACAGATGGGAATTTTTTAATCTGAAACACCTCTAGAAGGTTTTATGTGCTTTTGCTAAGTTTAAAGAGGAAATGGACTTTAATGCAGTGGGAAACCTCGTGCACCAGGACCAAGCTCGAGCAGTTGGCAGTGATCCGGTGGGTTTGCACTTGCCCTGTCAAAGCGACAGGAGGGCAAGGCTGCGCCCCCAAGCCTGGCTCTGGCTTTGGCCAAGATAGAGAAAACGGACGCTCTGTTCTATCAGATTATTTCTTCCATCCATTACTTAATTTTCGTGATGAAACCACAACTTCTGAGCTGACCTTGACCGCCTCCCAGGCAGCGGGGCAGCTCCCAAGGCTGCTGCGGGGAGCACAGGGTGGCGAAGAGAGAGTCCCAGCAGACGCTGGGGTGGACACGAGGTGTTCCGCACCCTTCATCATTTTCCCAATGGCTGGCATTGCTCCTCCCATGGACCATGCTGAAGGTCCATGGATCTCCTCTCCATGGAGGAGAGCAATGGTGACCCCGTGGAGGTCCCCCAGCGCTGCCGCCATGCCCCTGTGGCATTCCCAGCCTGCATCAAAGCCACCTCCTAAACCCAGGATGGTTTCGAGTCTAACATGTTGATGCCCGTTTTACCTTGCTGGGCCTGAAGTTCCCAGAGGATTTTTTCTTCTGAAGTTGAATCCTTGTTGGGATCAAAGATGAGAAAATCTGTCTCGGTGCCACCGAACCTCAGGAAGCCTGGGGACAGGGCCGTTGCCAGGGCACGCAGTTTGGGGTTGCTGAGGAAGGGATGTCAAGAAACAGAGGAAACACTATATTTGTGCAGACTATGGGTTCGGTGTAGGGCCTAAACATGGCAAATGCTCAGAGGGACGCGCTGCGGTAGGTGACCTGGGGCTATCTAGTAGCCTCAGGGCACTCCTGACCCCTCGCTGGCCCTGTGCCCCAGCCCTCTACACTGTGCAACATAGATGCTGCCGGACAAGTGGGCCAGGAGAGCATCGGCGAGGCAGCAAGGGGGAGACGTGCCCCAGAGATCAAATCCTGGGGGCAAAGTAAGGCAATACTTCAAAACAGGTATTTTTTTGTCCTAAGCATCCTTCTCCCCTAGAATTTTTTTGTTTTGTTTATACAAAACTAACACACCAGTCTCGTGAGAAGGCTGACGTAAAACTAACTTTAGACCATCAGTCCCAATTTCCATCAATGACAGCCAAAGCAATTGCTTTTGTATCCAAGAGAGATTAAGAGTCCACACTAGGACAAGCGTTAGCTTTAACTAAGCAGGTTTATAAAATAGCATAAGGTCTGCCTCTGCGACTTGCGCATACCCCATGCAGGATATGCAGCACCGACACCCGGCGTTCACTGGGGGAAACCGTGAGGCATTGGAGGATGCCGGGTGCACAAGCACTATCTCCTCGGTGGTGACACACAGCAGATTAGAGGCCACCAAGTACTTCCTGCTCCCCATAGTGGCGAGGCTGGCCCCAGACTGAACCCCAAGGTGTGTGGCTGGGGCTGGCGGTTGGAAACCTGAGCACTTTCCAATAAAGCTGATGTCACCTTTCTCCCCACCTTGGTGAGGAGGGAAAGATGAAAGTGGTGAGAAGAGGGAAATCAGGACTGGAGAAATAGTGTGGGGCTGAAAAATGGGATCAGACAGATGAAAAGGAAAGAATTAAGATAGCTTCCAAAAGAGTAGACTCAAAAGGAATAGAGTACAAAAAACAATAGAGCAAAAGCAGGGAAAAAGCGAGAGAGAGGTCAGAGCCGAAAGAACAGGCAGGGAACACCATCACTTGGCAGTCCAGAGTTGCTCAGTGTTACCCAAGGGGGAAAAAAGGCTTCATTTTTAGGATCTCTTGGTTCAGCTTTGATGGTGACAGACCTTCCTCAGCATTTATTTGACTTTATGTTGACAGTGCCCCGGCAAACATCTGCAAAGCTACCCGAGGACTCAGATGATTTCTATCTCATGGAGCAGCAGAGTTAGCAGCCCCCAGCCCCACCACACGTAACCCCTCTGCTCGGCAGTTTCCTTCTCCTTTTCTTGTGCTCGCAAAGCAGCTCCTCTCCCAAGTTTATCCCCGTGCTGCTTCCAGCGAGTACCACCCGAGCTGCGCATTCCCTCCCTCCACCCGGCCCTACCGCTCCGTTCCCCAAGCACAAGCGGAACGGCGCAGCTCGCACCCACGGCAGGTACCGCGTTGCTGCCCCAGGAGGATGAAATTAGTGAATCCCGAAGCAGAAAGGATCCAGCAGCCTCGCCCCGCCCCAGCTCCAGGGATGAGGTCTCCCTGTTCCCCCCAGCTCGCTCCCCTGCCCTGCCCCTCCGGAGCACGCCGGGCAGCAGTGCCTTTGCCCGGCTCCCCGCCGGGATGCCTGGGCTCCCTTCCCCGCGGCTGCAGACCTCTCTGCCTGCCGGGGACCTCTCCTCCCCGCTCCAGGGGACCCCTCTGCCGCCCCCCCGCCAGGGCCCTTTCTCCTTTGGCCAAAGGGGGAGGCGGCTCACCTGAGCAAGGCGGGCGAGCGCGGGTCCCGGGCCAGACTGGC